GGCCCACTGTCTGAGCACTTATTGCATTAATGATACAGTGCTAGAGTATCCCATGCAATATTTCCCTTGACTAAGAAATGAGAGGCTACAGCCTGATGTCCTTGGAATTCACTAGACTTATCGGGTGTTATGTGATTTAGAACAACTAGCTTTATAGAACAATGGAATGAATAAGTGGTGACTTGTCTATGCCAGGTTGGATTCAGCTCTGCCGAGTACAATAGAGGCTTTAAATCAACAATCAGTGTATCATTCTTGGTCTTTTGTAGCCAGAACATACCTATTGACTTTCTCAAAGAGTTTACTGCCTGTCTCTGACAGTCTAGGTTCTGCAGGCCAGGAGGTTTTAGCACCTAGGCAGGAATGCTTCTCACCAGGGAACACAAAAATGATTCCACTGCATTTCATACTCCTCAGGAATAGAAGAAAGGAGGTCACAGTGTAGGCTGGACTGATAACGGCTATTAAGAGGAAATAGAGCTGCTACTACTTAATGACCGCTGAGAAGTACATGAATGGGACCCAGGGGTATTCTGTTAATCAGGATTCTTTTGGTCGCCAGTGAAAGAAATTCCACTCAGGTTAGGCATGGCAAAATAAGGGCCTTATTGGAAGGTATACAGAGGCCTGAGGAAACAGGAGTGGATCACCACCAGGACTTCTGTCTTTCATCTCTACTTCTGTGTGTCGATGTCATTTTCGCCTACTAAAAACTGACTTCCACTTGCCAGAGAATGTAAATGCTATGGCTCACAGCTTCCCTGTTTTGTCTTCCTTTAATTTTATTTCAGAAAGTCCCAGAGAAGGGCTCTGACTGAATGACTTGGAGTGGGGAGTCCTATCTCTGGACTTGTCAGGCTCCTGTTTAACCCACATGGTTAGAGCTGGGAGAGACAGAGCCAAAGGAGAGGTGAGGGGTGGGGGAGGGCGCTGTTCTGGGCCCACCAAACAATCAGATGACATTATGGCTGCATGGCATGGGAAGATTCGCATAACTCCAGACCACTGAAGCTCAGAGGCTTTAGGAGTGAGGGTTTGGATCACCTCATAAGGAAGAAAACTCTGGCTGAAGGCAAGGGAAACTTGCAGTGGATAAAGGAAAATGGAAGACTAGTTAGGTCTTGGAAACTGATGTAGAAATAGGGCTGAGGT